TAAATGTTGTTTAGAATTCTCAAGTCTTGGGATAAACTACAGAAAGTAATTTGGGCAGGTATCATTCTTCCTGGCACTCCAAGTATAAACAGAAGATGAATGCAAGGAATACATCTCTATGTTTCACAATTCAAATACCCTACCCAGTTCAAATATTTTCAAGAAAATAATTACAAGAGCTGACACATTTTATAGCAGTATCAAATTAAGAAAGAAAATCTAAAAGCATCTTTGTGTCACATCTCTGTTCTATGACATTTGACATTGTGCAAGATGTGCTACTACGGGTCATCAAGGACTATCTATCACGTTCAAAACCTCTCTCTCTCAAACACACACATACAGTATTATCATAAGTGATTCAGTATCTCTTTATTAGATCATTTAAAATACAATATGAACAAATACATTTCTATTAATATATGTAATTCAAATATATTTTGTATGAAGCTATTTCAGAAAAACCCAGCTAATTTCATCAGATGAAGAAACTATCATCCCTCATTATGTAATATAATCATCTACAATATGCTCATAAACCAGAATACTTATTATCCTCTATCCTCTGCATTTTAGTCTCTCTGAATTTTCAGCAAGATTGGTTTTGTGCCACAAACAACTATCAAAGATTCTCTACAAGACCCTTGCAACCATGCATCAAAGCACAATTTAGTCCATTAATCCTAGGTGGCGTCAAAGTTTAGACTATGTTGTGATTAATGCATGTTCTCCTGCTTTATTGGTATTCACAGCTCCTTCCAATGCAAAGTTTTGATGCATACTGGAGACCTATTATTCAAACCCAAACCACTGGCAACTTTTCCTCTTATTCATCTTCTGTTTATACCCATGATGTCAGAAGAAATGATAACGTGTTCAAATTTCTTTCTGTAGTTTATCACAAGACCCAAGTATAATAAACAGCAGGTATCCCAACTCCAGAATTTTCTCTTTGTATTGATTTTGCTTTTGCTGGGACTCTTTTGCAGTACAAAGTCTGCACTAAAGCAAACAACCAACAAACAATCTTCTCAAGATTCAGAGCTGAAATCAATGCCAATGTCCCTGGACCTTCTTTTGAATTAGGTTCTTTGAGCACTGAATGTCGTTTTCAGCACACTGACACAATATAATTTTGATGTCTTGAGATCCTTGTTTCAATTTGGCTCCTTTGAACCTCTTTGGTTTTATAAATAGGGTCCTTATTATGGTCTACATCTGGCTTCCCTCAAAGAGACTTTTCCAAAAACCCTGGAGTAGAGCAGCCTATTTTTGTGCTCTCTTGAGGAGTCTTGTTCCCGAGCTCTCCCTCTCTATAGTTTGTTCCAGGCTGTTGGCTGCCTGATGTTTTGATGCCTCTGTCCACTAACTAACTCTTCCCTTTCAACAACTGAGCTTCAGTGTCTTGTGTACTGCTTCCTTCCTAGCAGCAGTTTCTGGCTTACTGCTTCAGTCTGTGTGTCAACAGACTCCCTGGCAACTTCCTGTGTCAGCTTCTGTCCCTTCTGCAGACTGCTCTCACCAATTTGGCTTTCCAAAGACAGCTTGCAGGAGCTCCAAGTGGGGATTTTATCTTCAGTTTCCTAGTCTGTGCTCATTTTCTTGATTATTAAGAGGCAGCAAGACTGACAACTATAGATAAGTGATTACCTACACAGTCACACATAAAGGTTCAAGAAAGAGGTTCTGCTCTTGAAGGCTAATTATCTCACAGGATAGACTCATTTCCAGGTTTTACAACATGTACTCTTTTTAAGGGATTTCCTAGTCAAACGGATATATTCTTGTCTGTTTATCTTTAGGTTACCTCACACATGGCATTGCATGTTGTAATTCATTATCTTTTTATGGCCTCATAAGATCAAAAGACATTTGCACAGTGATGTTTAAATCTTACTGTCTAAAACAAGTATAGTGAAGCAATAGGACCTAACATATGGTTTGTGAATTAAAAAAATACAAAATATATAGAGAGCAATTAAAAACCATTACTATTAAGTTATCAATTAGGGGACTATGAAATAGAAAACCCTAAAAATAGTGGTTCAAACTCAACACAATAATTTTACAAGGAAAAGCATTTACTGGTTTTAGTCTACAAGTTCCAGAATGCCAGTGTTCAGTCTGAACAAACCCTGGCCTTTCCTTCCCTCAAAGTTAGAGGACTGCTGTTCTAGTTTGTCATCACGTGTACTTTCTAGGAATGAAGGACTAAGAGGGCAGAATAAAAACAAGGTAAAAGGTTACACAAACAATCCATGATCTTCTTAGAAAGCTCATCACATTTCAAATTATGTCACAGAACAGAAATGATAGACTGTCTCTCACATTAATAGAGGATGAGAAAATGAGTTTGTGAGGTTGTTTGTTTGTTTGTAGCATACAGCACTAAGAGCTAACTGTAATTGGAAGAGTTGATACAAATGCAGCAGGAGTAGATGAAGCCAACTGATGGCTGCTTAGGTCTCCTGCTGTAAGAGTGAGCATGAGCAGGCCTTTTAATCTAAGAGCTACGATCCTGATTGATGTGTGGGTTTCATGAGGATCCTAACATAAAACCTCTCTAATTTTTATTATTTTTTCTTGGACTTCACTTTTTTCCTGAACACTTTCTACATTATCCCTAGCCTTGCAAGTTACATGCTGTGTCTTGGTTAGAGTAACTACTGCTGTGATAAAACGCCACGATGAAAAGCTGGGGAAGAAAGGGTTGATTTGGTTTACACTTCCATATCACCGCTCATCAATAAAGGAAGTCAGGACAGGAACAGGGCAAAACCTGGAGGTAGGAGCTGTTACAGAGGCCATGAAAGAGTGCCTGCTTACTGACTTACTCCTTGTGGCTTGCTCAGTTTGCTTTCTTATAGAACCCATGACCACCTGCCCAGGGTGGCCCCAACCACAATGGGTCAGACCCTCCCATATCAATCAATAATTAAGATAATACCCTATAAGCTTGCCTACGGCTCAGTCTTACAGAGGCATTTTTTCAACTGAGGTTCCCTTCTGTCTAGTGACTGACAGAAAACTAGCCAGCACACTCTGCAAACAGAAATTATAAAATAAAATAAAAGGTCTTAGGTGGTCACTAAGAGAGACTGAGCCTGGGCATGTGTTGTGTGCTGTTGGACTTCAGTCTGGAAAAGCGTCATAGGAGGTGAGGGTGAAGAGGAAACATTCTGGTACTGGTAAAGGTTTCAATGAAAGACAACACAAAGTTCAAGAGCGAAGACAATGGTAATGAGATAAGCTAGGAGCAAAGTAAGTAAGAGCAAAGACAAAAGACACTGACTCATTTTAAATGGTTATTAATTACATACTTGAGGGAAATTAGCCCAGTTCCAGTGAGTATAATTTATTGGTAAGGGGTAAAACTAGAGACAGGGAATTTAGTAAAGGGACTCTGTTCTAATTGTCTAACATAAAGGTATAAACCAAAACAGTACCAGAGGATTTGGAAATTCAAAGACTGATCTCACAGATATTAAACAAGTTCAAAATTAAAAAGCTTATTAACCAGGTGCTCTTGGCAGGGAACAAAGGGAGCCTACACAGGATTAAAATTTAACAGAGCTCCTATTTTGTTTTCATTCACTCATTGATTCACCATGGTGCATATTGGGTAATGTGATACCTTACCCTAATGCTGCATAACATGCATAGTTAACTGCACAATGGCTTTTACTCTTCATTTATCAAGGTCCTGAAACAGCCAAAGAGAAGCCAATGACCTACATACACTGCTTTGTCTTTAATGAACATCTGATGTGCACTTATGTGTATTCTACAACTTGCCTATTGTGAACAGTGCCACAATCAACTTGGGTATGCAGGAATATTTTTGTTGTGTAGATTTTCGTCCATTGGATATATGCCCCTAAACGAGATACCTGGATGCTAGTGGTAGATCTTAGTATGGACAATGATTTTTTTTTTTAATATAAACACGTAGGCAGAAGAAACAAAAGCAAACAGACAAATGTAATTAAAACAAACTACAAGGACTGTCCAGAATGCAGAAAACAATCATCAATGTGCTTTTGAACTGGCATGGAAGAGCCTCTTCCTAGAGCAAATCTACAGGACAAAGGGAAAAATAGGCAGCACTGGAGTCTGTTAAACAAAGAACAGACTTGTTCACATCAGTCTCCATGGTGAGCTACTTAGTAACCTTCCAAACTATTATTAATGAAACAATAAAGTCATCATTTTGGTCACTATAGCAATGAAAAAGTAAAATCTGCTGATTAAAAAAAAAAATCAGGAAAATAACCCTTAAAATGACAGGAGCTTTGCAAAGACAATGCAAACACGGGGTTAAATAAATAAAATGGCAACATGTATAAGAACTTTAATTACATTCCAAGTCCAGAGAAAAGTGAAAGACACAAGCAGCAGTTTAAAATATGCAGAGTCTATATTCTGTTTGTCTATTAGCTACAAAAGGGCATCCCTTAATGTTGCCCCCGGTTTGAGAAAGTTCATTAAAGGATAAGTTCCCAAAGTAATTCCAGTTTCCTTGTAAAAGCAAACACCTCAGAGGACCCCCTTAGTCTTTCCAAAATCCTGATTTCATCTGTTTGTGTATTATGTGATTACTAGTCCTTAAGGGCAATAATATACTGATATTATGTAGTTATGAATATGTACAATCAAATTAATGATAAAGTATTGTGGTTATATGCCCATTATTAGTTAGGAAGAGTTGAATAGGATCTGGACTTCCCCACCCAGAAGTTCTCTAATACTATCTACTTCAGAGAAGTACTGTGGGAAGAAATGCTCAGGCCACCTAAGTCTCACATAGAGTGGGTCTGAATTATAAAGTGTATATTAACAATGTCCCAGGAGATGTGTTCTGCACTTTTCCTTGAAAGATGAGATAAAACCTCAGAGTCACTGGTCTGACCAAACATCATGATTGATTTCTACAGTAAATATGAAAACTAGGATTCAAGCACAGTAATTCAATGAAACAGAGGCTGATATAAGTACTGTACCTGGATTGTGGCTTCAAAATTAGGAGAAAGGAATCTGCAAAAAAAGATAAAAACAATGACAACTTAATACAGTATCCTACAATCATCACATTGGAGATAGAAAACCTGTAGGAAATTATATAAATAATAACATTTAGTCTAAAGAAGAGAGAACAGGAGAAAGTAACTACCACTGTCAAATTTACAGACATAGTTTAGAATAATAAATGTGATTTAATGTCTCAAGAACTATTTAATTATTTTTAAAAGACAAAAAAAAATTAGAAGGAAAACTAGCAGTTATAAACAAATACTCTGCTGGTCTTGACTGGAAATATTTGGTAAGACATGCTTACTGGGTGGCAGGGGAAGCTAAGATCCCTGGACATGATACAAAAATAAAGATTAATGACATTTCAAGTCCAGTGGCTGTAAGGGAACCAGAGGTTTCTAAGGAAACCTCAAGATTTGCGTCTTTTTCATATGATGGATTATTTAAAAAAAAAAAAAACAACATAATTGAGTTCTCTTGTTTAATTAATAAAGTGTTCATGAATTTACCAAAAAAGAACTGTACACAGCAATTTACCATAACTAGGTTATTACTAGCAAAAACCATATATACCTCTGTAATAATATCAGTAGTTATACCTGTATAACTGTATAATTGCACAATTATTAAATGGCATATTAATATGAAGTCAAGAACTTTAGCAATCACATATCCTCACATTCTGCTTTCAAACTGATCCTAGATATGAGCAGGAATGAGCACCAGAAAAACCTCTATGGAAAGGCACCCACCATATTCATGCTGGTCAACCTAACATAAAAAGAAGGCCCATTACTATAAGGAGATCTAAAAAAAAAAACCAAACTTGTAAATTTCACATAAACATATGATTATAAAGTCACACCAGGGGGCGCTCTTAACACTAAAATGATGGATGGAATATTCTAAAACACTTGGTGGTCTCAGCTGGCCAAAAGGAAGATTTATTTTTCTAAGTATGTACTACGTATAACAAATGCTTATCTCTTGAATGTGTTCACTGACAGTACACACATTTTCTTCTGCATGCTACTGTTTGTGTGGTTAACACTAGGAAGTTACTCTATCAAGGAAAACATTTTTCTCCCCATAGGAAATGTTTTATTTTGGAAACATTTTGGGAACTTAAATCTCATCTGCCTCTTATTCTTCTTGTAGTTACACTGATTCCCATTAACATAAAAGAGTGTTGATGAGCACATACACTTAAAAATATGGCACCAAAGTGAATTTTATTTTTTACCAAACTCCCTATCAGAGGGTTTAATTCCTTCCATCATCACCCCCCAAAAAAGGAAGCATGATTTGGTGTGTATGAGTGTGAAGGACTGAGACTGTGTGTGTGTGTGTGTGTGTGTGTGTGTGTGTATTATGCTAAGAAAGCACTGTACAACTGTGCTTTATCTCAACCCATTTCTCTTTTCTTTTTTTTTTTACTTTTTATTCTAAGGAAAGGTCTGTGCAAGCAGCTCCAGCAGACTTGAATTCACACTGTAGCCCAGGCAGACCTTGAATTCATACCATGGAGCAGCAGACCCTGAATTCACACTGTAGGCCAGGCAGACCTTGAATTCATACTATGGAGCAGCAGACCTTGAATTCACACTTGTAGCACAGGCAGACATCAAATTCACACAGTAACCCAGGAAGTCCCTGGATATGTGATCTTCCTACCCAAATCTTGCCAAGTTGGGGTTACAAACCACTGCCAGACCTAGCAGAAACATGATTCTAAAGTTATTCAAAATGGAAAATTGTAATGGAATTCTAATCTTGGACATTCTAACCCACTCCTCTTATTTTCTCATTACCTCCAGTCACTTGACTGCAACTGCTCCCCTCCAAAATATTTGAGATTTGACTCAGCTTCCTAAAAGCATAGTAGAAGATGTGAGTTTTCAGAGAAACAGAGAATGATTAAAGGTGAGTAAGGCTGTGTTACCCCAAAACCATCACATACTACTCAACTGGAAGCAAATGTTTACACAGACAGGACACCTAATTAAAAGAAATTTTATGAAAGGACTTAAACGTGAAATGAAAGCAAAGTATGGGAAAAGATGAAATCATACTTGTCTGCCTTTAGTTCTAGGAAAAGCATTTGCAAGCTTTTCTCAACCCCAGTTGAGTATACTACTTTATCTATAAGCAACTTCCATGAGTGACATCTACCTGTAGTCAGGCACACATGAAGAATTCTGGCCAAGGACCAACTACTATAGTGATGTAAATTTAGGAAATAGGAGGAGTCTTTTTTCCTGTTTGTTCCTAAAACCAATTCATCAGTAAATTAACACTTTGAAGTAAAATTATGTAAGAAAATGCACACATCTATTTAATATTTTAGACTGAAGTAGAAATGACTCTTATCCCACAAGACAGATTTTAATATGGTTTTGGAGCATGTTTAGAGACAAAAAGAATAAAAAACACAGGACAAACAGGAGACAGGCCACAGAGATGAAAACTGTAAGAAAGATGTTGGATGAGGAATCAGGAACCAGCCATTACCTACGTTATGTACTTCTCAATTTTGAAATTAGAGAAGTTTTGAAAGATTCAACAAAGTAGATACAGCCTTGTTTGAAGAAAAGCAACACTTAACAGAGTATAATCTGACAGAGAAAAGCTATGAGGTTCCATGAGAAGCAAAATCAAAGCAGTGGTCCTGGGGTTCTCTGTGGCCAATCTTAGAAGCAAATCTGGAGTTAGTTGAAGGAAAGAAAGAAAGCAGTCAGTCCCTATTAGGACTGAAAGGAGAGTCAAGGGTTAGCTAGTAACTGGGGGTTACATTTAGTTGATGACAGGCACACAAGCCAAGATATAACAATATGAAGAAGTCTGAAGAAATTATACTTCTGCAGGCACTCAAGATTCCAGGATTTAAGCAGAGGGCTAAAGACCCAAAGATGAGAGAGTGACTCCATTCACCCACTCACTAACCTGCTCACTCATTTAATAATATTCAAGGAATACCTACATATGTTGCAGGCACAGACTTATGGGCTTAGAATAGAAGCAATAACAAGACATAGATCCTTGCATTCGTGATATGCACATTCTTGCAGGGAACAGGGATCCTCAACAAGAGCTGGCACAGTACCAGCACTGTAAGATGGTTAAGTGTCATGACCAAAGAGAGGAGAGCCAAGCATTGTGAGGGTGATTTGAAATAAACAACAGGGAAAACAGAGTACAAACACTTTTGTATCTCCTTTACCACACAGAGAAAGAGGCCTCAAGGAATGGGAAACGTCCAGTAAGGGGCCCTAAAAGTGGAAGTGCGCTTCACTATTTAAAAGATAGCAAGCAGGTCAGTGTTGGGAATGGAATACAAAGTTTTCAAGAAGAAAAAAGAATAGAGTATGCAGGTTTTGCAGAGAATAAAATAAGAATTTTGATAAAGAATACTTTGGAAATAGGTGGGACAAAACTTTCTAATAAGTAAATCTGGCATGTATGAGAACACAGAATATGGGATGATGCATGTGTCTCTGATTTAAGCAGCTAAAAGGACAGCTGACAATTAGTGGTGCTGCAAAGTCAGGCAATTGGAGAAACTGATTCGTGAAACATGAGCTGTCTAGTAGGCCTAATTCTAAAACCATGAGATAAGGGAGTGAGTGGCAAGAGAAGAGGGTAAGGGAGAACTATCCTTAGACTGCGTAGGCTTCTGGGAGTCCCCCACTCTTCAACTTCTGGCATTCATACCCCTCAGGATTCCCATCGCCTGGAATGAGGGCAAACCTTCTAACTTGTTTATAACCCATAAAATGAGAGAAATGACAAAATTTCTCCAAATTAAACACTATAATTGCATGACTACATTAATACTATACCTTTAATCTTGCCTGGGTTTTTCTCTCTGGCCAAATTCTGCAAAGCAAATACACATCAAGGAACCTGCATAGACAAGGAACTAAGGACAGCCTCTAGCTGCCACTTTGCAAAGCTACCAGATTCCACTCAAGCAAAGAGCAAGCCCTTCTTTCCCATAGCCTTCAGGAAATAAATTCTTCCAACAATCTGAGCAAGTGTGGAAATAAATCTGTTATTCAGATAACATCCCAGTTGCAGATGACAGCCTGAGTGCAGTCATAAAAGAGGATTCAGCTGAGTTATGACTAGACTTCTGCTCCATAGAAACAGATTATAAAATGGGTGTTATTTTAAAACACCAAGTTTATGGTAATTTGTTATGCACCAGTAGAAAGTAACATAAACCCTGGGCGGCTGCAAAATTTAGAGGCCAGCAAGACATGTAAGGCAAAGAAAATGACAAAGAAAGAAAGGCCAATGAAATCAGAGAGAAATCAAGAGAATTTTTTTCAAGAAACAGATTGCTTGTTTTCTCCAAGGGGAAGATACAGAAAGAAAAGGATAAGTTGGGCCTGTGGGCCTGCTAGAAGCTGCTAGGTAATGAGCAATTAAAGGTTCTGTGAGAAACCAGGTTTAGCCACTTACTTCTGGCCTTATAGTCCTTCTCCTTCCCACCTCCTGGGACAAATAGTAAGAGGAGTTGATGGTGTGTAGGGACTGGTAGAAGCCAGAAAGTACTTACATTCTTTCTGCTATAGGTGCTTGTGCACTAATAAACCTAGTTCCACTGAAAACTTTTGTGGCTGATATTACCAATGATGATTTATCCTGCAAAAGTTTTGGGAAGTAGTGGAGCTTTGTGATCTAGTCAGCTGTTAACTGCTAAAGTAAATGACACTCAGTCTTATTAAAAGCATTGGAAAATCCAATTAGTGCCAAAGCTGTGATACTTCACTGTTTATAAGGCTTTGAAGGTTGGTATTTCAAAACTGGCTAACAACACCAATCACAGTTGGCTCATTTTAATTACTAAGTAGCTAACATAACCTATTTTTAAACTTTTTATTGTTGTACTACATGCTCAGATTGCCTTTTAATTCATTTTTCCAAAAATATCAACAGAAGTCAATCTAATGAACATGTATTATATTCAAGGTCCTGAGCTAACTAGGTCTTGTTCAGTGA